TCTCAATCTGAACGAAAAACCTCTACTTTTGATCAATTGATTTGTCTGCCTTTTGTTAAAGTAGCTATATGTAAGATTTTCATGTCAAATCATCATTAAAGGGCCCTAATCTGTCAAAAGTCATTAATAAAACTTGCTCTTTTCCAATACTTCTTTAACTGAAAACAGAAATTCAGAGATTTTTGAAATCCTAAATGAGTTTCACGACAGTAGCTCAGTTGGTAGAGCACTGGCCTTCAGGCCTGAAGGTCGTGGGTTCAATTCCCACCTCTACACCTTCTCCACCGACTCCCACTGATGACTGCTGTCGTTGTGTCCTTGGGCAAGACACTTAACCCCACTTTGCCCAAAGCCCCCACTGAAAGATCAAGGCTATGCTCACACTCAGAGAGCAGCCGTCCTCCTGTGGACTCACCACCTGCAGAGGGTCAGTGAGGGGCTGGTGCTATGAGACTTGGGTGGCATCTCTGACTGCCACCCCCCTGACCCAGAAATGGATTAAAAGGTAGAAAATGGATGGATGGAGTTTCACAAACCCTAAATCTTGTTATTGTTTTCATTTCGATGTCCCGCCCTCCACCGTTTCATCAATCAGAAAGTCTGTGATCCGGGCGCCAGAACTCACCGCGTGGAGCTAATCTCACTGGTAAAGTACCATGTGGAGCTAATCTCACTGGTAAAGTACCATGTGGAGCTAATCTCACTGGTAAAGTACCATGTGGAGCTAATCTCACTGGTAAAGTACCATGTGGCGCGGAACTAAAAAAGGTCTCGTTATGATTCTCAAATCATTAACGACAAAACAAGGAATAAAACCAGGATTTCTATCTTTGTGAAAAAGGTGTTGGTTATAGATTTGTTGTTGACGAAACTCTTGTCTATTCAGCTGTTATGGTCCCAGCTAGATTCGTCTGCATATCTGGCAACCTGAGTCAGGGAGAGTGGGAGAGGCTGCAGTACCACTGTAGGCCACATTTTTACACACTGCTCCTTTAATTGTGAGTTAAGGTAAAAACCATATAAATGACTTCCCTTTGATCAAACTGGTGGAAAATGAAACACTTTTTTCAGAATTCCATTGATTTTATCGGGAACACCAGGAGCTCCAGTCGTTTCATAATTCTGGGAGTCCTTTAAGGTTGATTGGATTTCCCCTTTAAACAACATTTTCCATAGATTCCCAAACAAAACTGTTTTTTGGCTTTTCTAATGCAGCTTTTGGGTTTCTCTGCTTCTTTCTAATGCATCTAATGTGACACAATGAAATCAGCTCCAGACCTTGTAGAATTGGAAAAAAAATTACATCATATTGAATTATTAAAATCCTACTGTGCGGTGTATTCTCTGTTTAAATTAATACTTCTGTCATCTCTAAAAGCAGTGGATTTATAACAGAAAACTCTAAAACCCTGGATTTATTGTGCTGCATGTGACGTGTCCCTGTAATGCCCGGTCTCCAGAGAGAGGCTCCGGATCCATCAGACAGAGGCAGTGTGTTGGCGGTAACACAACATGAGTGTGTTGGCGGTAACACAACATGAGTGGACATAATGTCACTAATGTCGCTTATGCAAGAGCTTTAGTCGTCCGTGATCCGTGGATGAAGGTCTGTGGGCCTCTGCGGAGATGCATGTTAGAGTTTGACTTTTAAACTGTACTTTTACTGGTTTAAATAATGAGTGTGATTATGTGAAAGTGAGAAACTGCATAGTGTGTAAACATATTTCAATCTAAGGCTTGTTTTACTTTAAATTTAATATATTCTTCCATAGCTATAAATTGCGACAGTCGTTACTTTGGAGAATTTTGCACAGCTGTCGATTCACCAACACAGATCAGAGAATCAAACAATTCAAACGCTAACCTATAAGGGGCGGATGACCAACGCCCACAGATGTTAGTTGTTTTTATGGTACTTACAGTATATGACATTTTCTAAAGTAGATAATATACACATATACTCAGGATGGTTCTGTTGGGTGGTCGGGTTGACGTACCAGGAACATAATAATAATAAATAATACATCATACTGTAAAGCATCTGTCATTGTGAACAGTGCTTCACAGATAAAACGTTATTACTGGATCGATCGGTCACATTTCTTCCGCTGCCGTCAGTAAACATCGGCGTCTCGGTGACACGCGTCCGTCATCTCAGTGTTCCATGACTCTGAGCCTTTCCTTTACAAACACGTCACAGTCGACAAGTGCGCGTGGGGGAATGGACTCGGCTGTTTGCGAACTCATTTCTGCAGGATTACAAGCCGCATCACGGAGGATTTGAGCGGAAATAACTGGAAAGAGCTGTCATGTCGCGAGGAGTAAAGACCGCGGAACTGACGAGCGCAAATACGATGCTAAAGAAGACGTTCAGACCACAATAATATCAGACTGACAGAGAGAGGCCGGGATCTGAATCATTTAGCCTCAACTGTCGCTTGTGGCTGGTTTGGTCGGTGGGGTTTGTTCTATGATGCTCCAAAATGCCCTAACACTAAACTCTAAACCAAAACCCTAACTGCTGCATTCTGGGAGGAGGTACAGGATCTTACTTACAGGCTTTAGTGATTGAATAATAATAAGATAATATTGTGAGAATAGATACATCTGGATATAGGTGCTCAGGAAAATACATATCCCATTGTGCAAAAGCAACAGGTTAACAAGTACCTGGGTGTTCATCTGAACCACAAACTGGACTGGACTCATAACACAGACGCCCTCTTCAAGAAGGGCCAGAGCCGGCTCTACCTACTGAGGAGGCTCAGGTCTTTTGGAGTGCAGAGGCCACTCCTGAAGACCTTCTATGACTCTGTGGTGGAGCCTCTTGTACGGTGTGGTCTGCTGGAACAGCAGCATCACAGAGAGGGAAGAAGCTGGAACATCAGGAAGTCCAGCTCAGTCCTGGGCTGTTCCCTGGACACAGTGCAGCAGGTTGGGGACAGGAGGGTCCTGAGCAAACTAACATCTATGCTGGACCATGACTGTCGCCCCCTGCAGGACACTCTCTCTGCTCTGGAGAGCAGCTTCAGTGACAGACTAATTCACCCTCGATGTGTGAAGGAGAGGTTCCGTAGGTCTTTCCTTCCTGCTGCTGTCAGACTGTACAATAAGAACTGCTGAGCCTGTAAATTTCATTCATCTGTAATTAAGTAAATTCTTAAATCATTGGCAATGTGCAATACTGCAACTTCAGAATGTCACAGAACAATGTCACTTTACCTCATGTCACTTTACTTATATACTTTTTATCCTGCACTATTTAACTGTACAGTATATAACTGCACTACTATGGGATATAGTATGGGCGGCACGGTGGCAGAGTGGATAGCACTCTCGCCTCTCAGCAAGAAGGTCCTGGGTTCGAATCCCGGTCGGACCAGGGCCTTTCTGAGTGGAGTTTGCATGTTCTTCCCGTGTCTGCGTAGGTTTCCTCCGGGTGCTCCGGTTTCCCCTACCACTAAAAATATGTCCAATAGTTCTAGCATGCGCCTCCTGTACTGGCGACCCCGCTCCCATCTCTGTGTGGAGTGAGAGACAAATGCCCAAAAATTAACAATTGTAAACCGCTTTGAGACTCAGATCTGCAGTGAAAAGGCGGTATATAAATAAAGATTACTTACTACTACTTACTTACTACATATATATTTTTTGACTGGTATTGAAGCATTTTCAGCATCTACAGCTAGTTATATTAGTTAAGAAACATAGCTACTACTTATTTGTATGTAGTGTATATATTGTGTGTGCTCCCTGTGTGCTCTTACTACTGTCCTGTCTGTGCGCTGCAACATCGAAATTTCCCCACTGTGGGACGAATAAAGGAATTCTTATCGGTCAGACTATCTACGCTCGGACTATCTACGCTCAGACTATCTACGCTCGGACTATCTACGCTTGGCCTAGCCAAAGCCACCTCCATCATGAACAACACCTCCCACTGCACAGGACTGTAGAGGAGCTGAGGAGCTCCTTCAGTGGAAGACTGAGACACCCTCAGTGTAGGAAGGAGCGCTACCACAGGGCCTTTATCCCCACCGCTGTCAGACTGTACAATAAGTCACTTTAAATGATCACTGTGTGAAAACCTGCACTACTATTGACACTGTTTCCAATTGACACTTGTCACTTTTGTTGTACATAATTATTGTCACTTTATTGTACATATATATCCTGCATGTAACATGTTTGCACATTTCCTCCTTTTGCACAATCTGAGTGTTCCATCCATGCCAAATGTGACATGTACATTTCTCCTCTGTGAGATAAGATAAGATAAGATGTGCTTTATTTATCTACATTTGGACGTGTAACTAGCGGTAATCTTTCAGTTATATATTGTGTTTGCAGTGCGTTGCTTTTGTACCATTTCATCAGTGATTGTTGTACAGCTTAAGTTGTGCTAATGCTAATGTTAGCATATGTATCAGATCGCAAATAAAACTAGATGGCTCCGTGGGATGAGAGCGTAGGGCAAATGAGAAGCCTGTGAGCGAGTTGGGGGCGGGGCTAAACATTCAAACCTTGCAGAAACGGGTATAGCTCCTTTAATAAGTACATTATCTGTGTGTTGTTATTTTTTCATGTCACGTCTTTGGGTGCTACCGATCCCCCCCCATGCTCCAAGACACATTTCTCTTTTGGGAGACGACATAATACATGAATCTGAATCTAAGACTAATAAAGGTTTATCTTAAATCTGATCTGAACCTGAACCCTAACCCTCAAATTAAAGCAGGGTACCAATGCTTGTTTTCAACTGTTGTGTTTGTAATTATATATATTATTGTGTGTGTGTGTGTGTGTGTGTGTGTGTGTGTGTGTGTGTGTGTGTGTGTGTGTTAAGCGGACATGAGCAGCTTGTGTTTAAATGTCAGTAAAGCTTTGCGGTGGCGGATGTAAACGAGAGGCTTTTAGGGTGTTCTCGCTGACCTCTGTGGTGCTGTTTTCTGATTAGACGCTCCACCCTGCAGCTGCTCAGACGTCCCACCCTGCAGCTGCTAAGACGTCCCACCCTGCAGCTGCTCAGACGTCCCACCCCGCAGCTGCTCAGACGTCCCACCCTGCAGCTGCTCAGACGTCCCACCCTGCAGCTGCTCAGACGTCCCACCCCGCAGCTGCTCAGACGTCCCACCCTGCAGCTGCTCAGACGCCTTCATTACGCCGTGACTTTGCCTCGACCTCCTCCAGGAACAAGACTGACAAGTTTAATACGAGATACCTGACGCAATGCACAACACGGCTCGACAGTGGAAAGTGGCATTTTTTTCTTTTACCTGAATTAAATCAACAGAACTAAACGTGATAATTAATTGAATGAAATGTGTCTAAATCTCCCACTGCCACTGATGTCTGCTGTCATTGTGTCCTTGGGCAAGACACTGCATGCCTTGATATTTACTGTATATGTGTATTCTTCAAACTGAATTTTCCCCACTGTGGGACGAATAAAGGACTTTCTTCTTAAGTTCAAACACCGGAAATACAATTCAATAATGGCTAAAACATAAGAGCCATTAGTTCATAGGGAGCGGGATGACCAATTTCCGTAGATGTTAATAAATGTGCATAAATATTCGATGATTTATGCACGATGTGATACGGGTTGTGCAGCCCCTTTGCGTTGCCTTGTGTAGGAAAGGCGCTCTACAAATAAATGTTGATTGATTGATAAATGAGCATCTCACTTTGGACCAGAGCAGAGAAAATGGTCAAAACCAAGCGGCTACTGCACCTCTGCTGCTGTGACCTAAAGTGCTGTGTGCATTTAATACTATTGTTAGATATTTTTAGAATCTTTTGTTTATTTTTTGCTTGTATTAATATATGAGTTTCTGCTGCTACTGGACACCTGCATTTCTCCTGTACGAGCGATCAATAACGAATCTATCTATCTATCTAAATGTCTTTAAATGTCCTGGATCATCACTGTCCTTAGACCCGCTCCCAAAGACAGGCTCTGTAACCAGGACGCAGCTGTCTTGGGGCAGATTGGTGGAAGCAAGGCTGCTGTACAGGTGGCGCTACTGGAACCTCCCAACACCGCCACCACATTCTCTGACAATAGGAAATGCGGGTCCCTGCACTGTAAAAACTGAGCTAAAATGTATTGTCCTGATTCAAACAAAACTTGCCAATGGGACTCATTGGGACAAGCAAAGTGTATTATCTCAATGACAGCAGCAATTTCATGAGAATGTGTGTATTTCCATTAACCGAAGGTAAACTTAATCTAACTTCAGCAACCATTTTCACTACATATAGACTTTTGTACTTTGACACAGAGGCTGATCATTTATGAGGTGGATTATCCCAGATTGTGCACATTATGAAATGTAATAACAATGTAAAAGTGTCCAGTTTTGACAGTGCATAAACTATTGTGATGTCTTTGTCAAAACCAAGAAAAATGGACCAGGGAGATGAGAAAGTCCCAGTCCTCCACAAACAACTGCTCCTTAATGGACTCGTAGATGAGCCAAAGGCAGCAGCGTCCTTCGTACACAGAGGTTGGCGTGTGTAGAATCCTGGTGGACTTGTGATTCAGTCCTTTGCCATTAGCTTGTATACGTTCCCGTGCTCCATGTGACACCCACTCTCCAAACATGTATTTATAGACTGCATAAGAGTGAGGAGTGCCCCTGGGTAGACCTCAACACGAGCAGGAGCCTCCGTCACACATGTCAGGAAGAGCGGATACACAACAAGTCTATACTACACACACACAGATATATATTTTACAAATGCGGCTTTATTGGGATTGTTAAAAGTTATTATGAAAATGCCAGTTTAGGTCTTCTTTGGTCCTCTTTAGTTTCTCACCTTTTCTCAAAAACCATTTTCACTTTTACTGCTCTTCCATCTTTGCTAAAATCACACACAAAAAACAAGTGTTAGCTGCTAATTAGCTTCTATACGCTTTGTTATTCTAATGAGGCCTTCAGCTTTAGACCAGAGCAAAGAAAATGGTCCGAACCAAGGGGCTGCTGCACTTCTGCTGCTTTGACCTCATTACTGTTGTTTACTACTTTTAAAATGATCTATTTTTGTATTTGTTTGTGTGGTTGGATGTGTTTATGGGGGATCAGTGAAGTATCTATATATCTATTTAATTAACAGATAGATAGATTGGTCCCACAGTGGGTAAATGTCAGTGTTGCATCACCATTTTCAGAACAGTAGGAATGAGGAGCAAATAACGTAGGATAACTCTGAAATGTAATCTCTAGCTTTAACATAGCTTTAATATAATAAAGAAGTACGTTTAAAATCTATAGCTTTCGCATCGGGAAGAAGCAAGAATCAAGTATAAAATGGTTGACTTTAGAATCAGAAAAAGTTAGTATAAAGTCTATCTCTAGTGCAAAATCACACCAAAAATATTCATGGTTACACTTCTCTCTCCGCTCTGTTCTCGTACTACATCCTCTGGGCTCAGATTCTTTGCATTGATACTCAAATGTATGTTTAGTGAGTTGAAACGGACCATGTTCAGCTGAATGCGCACCTGCAGCTGTCCCATTGGGCCGAGAGATTTCAGTCCCCATGGTTGGTCTTGGCTCAGGGTACCAGCAGGAGCCCCATGGTTGGTCTGGGCTCAGGGGACCAGCAGGAGCCCCATGGTTGGTCTGGGCTCAGGGCACCAGCAGGAGCCCCATGGTTGGTCTTGGCTCAGGGCACCAGCAGGAGCCCCGTGGTTGGTCTGGGCTCAGGGCACCAGCAGGAGCCCCATGGTTGGTCTGGGCTCAGGGCACCAGCAGGAGCCCCATGGTTGGTCTTGGCTCAGGGCACCAGCAGGAGCCCCATGGTTGGTCTTGGCTCAGGGCACCAGCAGGAGCCCCCCATGGTTGGTCTGGGCTCAGGGGACCAGCAGGAGCCCCATGGTTGGTCTGGGCTCAGGGCACCAGCAGGAGCCCCATGGTTGGTCTTGGCTCAGGGCACCAGCAGGAGCCCCGTGGTTGGTCTGGGCTCAGGGCACCAGCAGGAGCCCCATGGTTGGTCTGGGCTCAGGGCACCAGCAGGAGCCCCATGGTTGGTCTTGGCTCAGGGCACCAGCAGGAGCCCCATGGTTGGTCTGGGCTCAGGGCACCAGCAGGAGCCCCATGGTTGGTCTTGGCTCAGGGTACCAGCAGGAGCCCCGTGGTTGGTCTTGGCTCAGGGCACCAGCAGGAGCCCCATGGTTGGTCTTGGCTCAGGGCACCAGCAGGAGCCCCATGGTTGGTCTTGGCTCAGGGCACCAGCAGGAGCCCCATGGTTGGTCTTGGCTCAGGGCACCAGCAGGAGCCCCCCATGGTTGGTCTGGGCTCAGGGCACCAGCAGGAGCCCCATGGTTTGTCTTGGCTCAGGGCACCAGCAGGAGCCCCCCATGGTTGGTCTGGGCTCAGGGCACCAGCAGGAGCCCCATGGTTGGTCATAGCTCAGGGTACCAGCAGGAGCCCCGTGGTTGGTCTGGGCTCAGGGTACCAGCAGGAGCCCCATGGTTGGTCTGGGCTCAGGGTACCAGCAGGAGCCCCATGGTTGGTCTTGGCTCAGGGTACCAGCAGGAGCCCCATGGTTGGTCTTGGCTAAGGGCACCAGCAGGAGCCCCATGGTTGGTCTTGGCTCGGGGCACCAGCAGGAGCCCCATGGTTGGTCTTGGCTCGGGGCACCAGCAGGAGCCCCATGGTTGGTCTGGGCTCAGGGCACCAGCAGGAGCCCCATGGTTGGTCTTGGCTCGGGGCACCAGCAGGAGCCCCATGGTTGGTCTTGGCTCGGGGCACCAGCAGGAGCCCCATGGTTGGTCTTGGCTCGGGGCACCAGCAGGAGCCCCATGGTTGGTCTGGGCTCAGGGTACCAGCAGGAGCCCCGTGGTTGGTCTGGGGCTCAGGGCACCAGCAGGAGCCCCATGGTTGGTCTTGGCTCAGGGCACCAGCAGGAGCCCCATGGTTGGTCTAGGCTCAGGGCACCAGCAGGAGCCCCATGGTTGGTCTGGGCTCAGGGTACCAGCAGGAGCCCCGTCCCTGTGCTCCCCAGAGTCTGAGATGGTTGTTACGGCGCTAACACGTCACAGATGTCGTTGCAGCGGCACAGATCTGATGGATACAGAGACCGAGGAAACCCACAGCTCTGGATCCACCTGTGTCCCTGAGGTGGGCCTGGGCAATACGGCAGAAAAGTAAAATATTGATTGTATTTCCTGCTTTGGACGATGTTGATTTTTATTCAATTTTCATTAAAGTCACCAAAGATAGACTTTGCCCCTAAAAATATGTTTTGATCTTTCCGCTCAATATTCAAGTTTCAAAACCATTTTTAAATTTTTTCCCCCAATACATGTTATTTAAGTCTTGTACAGACTGTGCTGATATTGCAAGGATAATTCATGTGCTGCTGGAACTCTCACAATTTTCACATTTTTCACAAATTCGCAGCCCTACCCTGAGGGGGATTGTTTATAACATTGTAGACATATAACACTTACTATACAGATATAAACGTAGCTCAGTAGTAGCAGAGCATCTTGATTTGACTGCATGTATGTCTTGTTGGTAGATTTTTGGGTTAGTGTCAGGGCGCACCTGGATATAAGCTGCACCAGCAACATTTTAAAAGAGGAAATCTATGCAGACACGGGGAGAACATGCAAACTCCACTCAGAAAAGGCCTGTTCTGACAGGGATTTGAACCCAGTCAAAGTAATAAGTCTAAACTCTGACAACAGCCCAGCTCTACCGCGATATAGATACACACATTAGCCGTGTCGCTTTACAAATCGCAGGATTATATAGCAAACTAGAAAAATTAGCGGTTTATTGCTAACAAAAGACGTCACTTGTACAGGATTAATAGCAATATAAACTATTCTATATCGTCTATATCCATCTGCATCACAACATTGCACTTTCCACTGTAAATTCATCACACTTCCCAAAGATATCCATTTCTATTGAACTCATTAACGGGAGAATTTATTTTGCCGCTGCTCAGAAATCCTCATTCAACATTCCCACATTTGGATTAACTATTTTTACAACATTTGAAAAGCCACATTGTGCTTCTCACTGGAAAACCCAACCGCAGCAGCGCGTTGGCATTGTTCCCACTCTGACACATGGGGATTTGAATCAATAACACCATGTCTGTGCCATTCCGGTATCCCCCACCCCCTCTCCCCCCCTCCCTGGGTCTAAAAATACACCCCATTACAAGTCGACAAGACAATCTGGCCCGGAGCATGACAGACACGAGATCGGGACACTTCCCACAGTGCGTACAAACAAGTGGTGTCCCCCTTTTCGGTCACTACGGTCCATCATGGCGAACGTTTCAATGCATGTTGATCCATAAATATTTAATTGGCCTCCTGCCCTCCGGGAAGGGGCCGCGAATTCTCAATATCTGACTAACAAGCCGGGCCAGGGTAGAGAGCTGGAGAGAGGGTGGTGGCGGAGGCTGGAGGGAGATGTATTAGGTATTTGTGGTGTGAGTATGGACTAGAACTCGGTCTCGGTGTGTGTTTGGAGAACTAGTGGTGCCACACATAGACCTGGATGGATGTCTGTCGAGCTGCCCATTTCATGAAAAACACTGGAAAACATGAAAAAATACACAACGTACTTAAACAACAAGAGGGCAGACATAGTGGATCCATAAAAGTTACTAAAAAGCAAACATCTGTGGTGGTCATTTACTCCTGTAATCTGGTTTATTTTATTTACCCTTTAATAATCCAGGAAAGTCCCATTGAGATTAAGAACCTCTTTTTCAAGGGAGTCCTGGACAAAAGCTTCATACAGTTGCATATAATTACAGATTATAAAAAACATTTACAGACAATTTCATACAATTTCCAGATTAAAAACATGGGACTAACAGTTTTGGATTTTGCTCAAAATGGGCTGCATCCAAATTCAGAAACACTTCCTTCCGTGTGCTTCAGAAGTGACATCTGAGTCGAGCAACATTTCAGATTCAGAAAAAATTAAGATAAGATAAGATATACTGTACTTTATTGATCTCACAAAGGAGAACACTCAAGATTGTACAAAAAGTAAGAAATGTGCAGCATGTTAATGCAGGATATATGATGTCCAATAAAGAGTGCACTACAGTGTCAACAGTAGTGCAGGTTTCTTTATTGATCCCAGGACAATCCATTTGAATGCAACAAACTTCTAATTGATTGTAATGAAGTTTGATGATAAACATGTACTTTGTTCATTCTGGAGGTGGGAAAGTTCCTTTGTCATGTCATGTCATTTTCTGCCCCTTAATTAATCTATTTCAGGGTCGGGGGGGGGGGAGCTGCCACCCAATCTCAATGCACCAGTCCTTCTGATCCTCTGCAGGTGGTGGGTCTGCGGGATGATGGCTTCTCCGTTGATCAATGGAGAAGCCACGGAGATGGTTAAGTGTTTTGGGACACAACGACAGCAGACATCAGTGGGAGAAGATGACATGGGTCGTGGTGGGACCCACGTCCATGAGGTCCAAAGACCAGCGCTCTACCAACTGAGCTACTGTCGCCCCCAAATTTACTTGTGTTTTGTAATAAAAATATCCATCATGGTGCGGTCTAACCAAAGGGATGTTGTTGAAAGTGTCAGTTTACGAGGCACATTCCCAAAACATGAACATGTTTGCAGACAATTAATTTGTGTTAAATACCTGCATGTCAGAGCCAGATCCTGTCAGACCCTTGAGGCCAAGCAGGGCAGGGCCTGGTTAGTGCTGTGATGGGAGACATCTGGGAACACCAGGTACAACAGTGGGTCAGCTGCGGCTGTAAAATGCCAAACTGCCATTGTGTCCTTAGGCAAGACACTTCACCCCTATTGCCTTGAATGAGTCTGGTGTGTGTGTGAATGGTTGGTGGTGGTGGGAGGGGCCGATGGCACAGACTGGTTGCCTTGCTTCTGTCAGTGTGCCCCAGGGCAGCTGTGGCTACAGTAGTTTATCACCACCGTGTTTGGAGAGAGAGAATAATGACATGTGAAGAGTCTGTGAGTGTCCAAATAAGCGCTGTATAAAAACAAGGTATTATTATTATCATTCCGGAGAAATGTTAATGAAATGAAATTAGTTTGCTAGGTTATTTATATCTGCAAAAGGAACTGGGAACAAAAGCGCCCGGTTTAAGACCCTCCAAGATCTGTGTGACTCTCTATAAAGACATGTTTTTTGTTTGTTTGTTTGAAACTTAATCTCTTTCTTGATTTACATTTGTTATGGATAATGGCCAGTCCGACAGCAGTAGTTAGAGGAAGACCCACATGTTCAGCAGAAAAGTCACATAAAATGAGACTTAAATCTTGACCATGTTCACTCTATTTGAATCAGAGTTTTGTCCACTTCTATAGACAGAAGGTTCCTTTTCACAAACTGCTCTAAAGCTCTACATAAACTGTCCATTTGAAAACCGAATGCACAATTTAGCAACACATATTTAACCTCGACAGTTGTCATTACCAGACAGAACTTTACAGACACCGCTTGACAAAAGTAAATCACAAAAAAAAATATGCACTCCATATTAATTTGGTTTTTTTCTACTTTTTGTTGTCCTGCTATTTGCAATTCAGATCCTTGACCTTTTCAAACCTGGCTCGACAGAACACGGGAGTTATACTGGAACTAGCTGTTAGCGCCCCACACGTGAATAACAATGCCGCTTTCATAATAAGACTCATTAGTTTGATTATTTATGAAGTTATGAATACAAACTAGCATTACAAGACATGGGTAATATAGATCCATGAGGCTGGAACTGTGTTTGAAAAGCACAGACTTAATGATTTGTGGTATTAAACTAGAATCATCATATGCACCAGCTGGTCTGTCGGCTGCCCTTTGGAAAAATGCAGCATTCATATGAAATCCATGTGGGTTGGGGCTCCGGGAGACCGACTGAAAGACAGATTGAATGCTAATACTAGATGCTGGATTGGACTCGTCATTGCAGGAGGCAGTGGTTCCCAACTGGAGGGGCGGGGGGTGGGTGGCGGCTTGGTCAACCATCCACAAAACCAAACAAAAAACTAGTAAAACACATGTAGAAATTAGCATTATTAAAACCCAATAAGTGATGCTGGATGGAATAGATGGCAGTACATGGTTACAAGGTGAGACAATACATGACCCGGGAACTAATTTAGCAGATTGGGCCCGGGACTTAATTAATGTAATTATCTAGAGGCTTTGTGAATGTCTAAATTTTGAGATCAATAAAGTCTTATCAGAGCCCCGGTGATCCAAGATGGCGCCCTATTCAAATGGATGGCTTGTGCGCAGTAAGAAGAAAAAAGTTCAGGATGACAAGGGACACTAAAATCTGACCTTTATGAAAGCTGTAGGTTCTCTGTCAGGTTCTCTGTCAGGTTCTCTGTCAGGTTCTCTGTCAGGTTCTCTGTCAGGTTCTCTGTAGGTTCTCTGTCAGGTTCTCTGTCAGGTTCTCTGTAGGTTCTCTGTCAGGCTCTCTGTAGGTTCTCTGTCAGGTTCTCTGTCAGGTTCTCTGTCAGGTTCTCTGTCAGGCTCTCTGTCAGGTTCTCTGTCAGGCTCTCTGTCAGGTTCTCTGTCAGGTTCTCTGTCAGGTTCTCTGTCAGGCTCTCTGTCAGGCTCTCTGTCAGGTTCTCTGTCAGGTTCTCTGTCAGGTTCTCTGTAGGTTCTCTGTCAGGTTCTCTGTCAGGTTCTCTGTAGGTTCTCTGTCAGGTTCTCTGTCAGGTTCTCTGTCAGGTTCTCTGTCAGGTTCTCTGTCAGGTTCTCTGTAGGTTCTCTGTCAGGTTCTCTGTCAGGTTCTCTGTCAGGTTCTCTGTAGGTTCTCTGTCAGGTTCTCTGTCAGGTTCTCTGTCAGGTTCTCTGTCAGGTTCTCTGTAGGTTCTCTGTCAGGTTCTCTGTCAGGTTCTCTGTCAGGTTCTCTGTAGGTTCTCTGTCAGGTTCTCTGTCAGGTTCTCTGTCAGCTGAGGTCGAGCTGTTTTAGTTTACATATGGGACTTTTTTCTGGGTAACGTGAATTTGCAGTACCCACGGGCGCCCCCTGTGCCCATGGTTATTATTATAGATCCATGTTCTAATCTTACCTTATTGGTATGAGAAAGGTTCTGGGGTCCAAAATACATTAAAATACATGATAAAATTAACGCATTATTTTTGTGTCATTAATTCATCTTAATTAACGCTTTAAAGTCCCGGCCCTGAAGCATGTTCACAAATCTTTCCATGTTAAGTTTGTGATTATGAAAAGACAGCTTGAACAACTTTGGATTTGGGCAAAATTCTCTGTGTTTTTTAGGCAGCTGAAGATGAGTGCAGGGATGAGAACGAGATCTGTGCCAAAAAGGAGAAGGGAACACGTTTGTGATCTATTTTTTCCTTGTTCGTTTGCCCCTGGACCATTTTAAATTGGCTCACGAAATCTGCTGCAAATCTCTTTAACTGGTGTTGACTGCGGCTCTTCCACACATATAACTTTGTGATCTGAGCCTTGATGAGGATAATAAGGAGAGAACGGAAAATCAAACGTGGCATGTGGCAAAAGGCAGGACTTTGAAAATGAGTAATTTAATAAAAGCAAATATATAGACAAAATCAAGAAACTGAAACTGGAACAAATAGTAGGTGAAGACAAGAACAAAAAGTATACTTGTTTTAGACGGGACAGGGGGGTGAAGGACTAAGCAGAGTTTGAATATGCAAGTCTGATAATACACACATACACAACACATCTGATCACACATCCGGAAAAACCACCGAGGAAGACACAGGGGGTTAGAGGTTAACAAATTACTAAATAACACAAGAATTAGAATGACTGGAAACTTAACAGTGCTAGATTTAAAATGAGATGTTGCTTTTCTACGGGACGCCTAAACCAGGGGTGTCAAACTTGTTCCAGAGAAGACAGGTGTGGCTGCAGGACTTCAATCCAACCGAGCAGGAGCACGTCACGGCAAGTAATGTAGTATATAATATTATCTCCCGCTGCATGAGTAAAAAAGTCCAAGCACTGAATAATATATCTACTTAAAATGGATTAACTTATTAGAGATTACATTTACTCCATATTGTGAAATTGTGCTGGAAAAGCTGTATCAATGGAGACTGGAAAAACATTCTGGAGGATTCTTCTATATATTCTACATTTCTGGCTCATTTGGAAAAGCCTGTTTGTTCAACCTGTTTTTTGGTCCTTGTTACCGCTTTCGCAA